TTTGGAGATCATGTCTTCGGCCTGTTCGATGAAGTGGTTCTCCTTGTTTAGTCGCGTTTGCTGAGAGAGCAGCTTGATCCACTCCAGCATGTCCTGCATCGCCACATTGCCACATCATCACGCACATGTTTGTTACACTTTACAATTTACCTCTGTTGTGTGTGGCGTGGTGCGTGTGCGTGTCGTGCGGGAAGGGCAAACCTGTTGCGAGGCGGCGACGATGAAGTAGACGCGTGCGCTGATGACGATTTCGAATGCGAAGTCCGACGTGTCCTCCACCGCGGGCTGCAGTGTGTGTGGAGTTCAGACCCAGCGCCGGCGGTGGTCAGTCATTGGCCACATACCACCACCACAGCTGCTGCCATGAACCAAGTGTGGTGGCCACACAGTACCCGAATGACGGCCTGGTCGAGTGGAATGCAGTCGATGGGCTTCTGGTCGGGTCCCTTGGCGTAGTACAGCTTTCGGTCCAGCAGCACGAACCACCGCTGCCTATTTTTGTTGATTTTAATAGTTATTTTTTAATTATTACAGAATTAATTGTGATTAACACACGAATAAATAAGAACAAATAAATAACAAATAAATAACAAATAAGAAAATCATTCTCTGCAAGAGTCGGAGCTGCGTACTTGAGGGATCGATTCACCTGGCCTCGTTTCTGCAGGTAGCCGCTGTGCAAAATCTTTCCCTCCGATTGCTGCAGGCAAGTTACATGTAATTTGAGGGAATGCACAACACACTTACATCAACAGGCAATACAACTGTCCGTACGTATTCCCGACTCGGGGTCTCCGCTGTGGCTCTGCGTCGGAACAACATCGTGATGCGGGCCAAATCTCGAGACTGCCACACAACACCAAAAGCAATACTGTTGTTATAATGGTTAAAAAAAGGAATATTCTGTTTTTAACCATTAAAAAAAACAGACCTTTTGTGCGGACATAAAGTTTGTTTCTGAAAGACGGCGGATGATCCATGAACCACCCCTGAAGCTGTTACTGCCACTGTCTGAAATTGGAGGTCACTCACACTCCCATTGCCGTGGGTGAGCAGTGGCCACACTGGCGCCTGCCAAAACTTCAAAACACTGGCCAGGGGCATGAGAAGCTTTAAAGACACCAGTGGAGAAATGGCAGTTGGGAGGATTAGACTTCTGGGCACAATGGGCTTTCTAGCAGCTTCTTAGCATGCAGAAAGACAGGCTCAGTGAATTTGATGGCATCAGACCCTGATAGGACAACCCTCCTTCCAGCCAACTTGACACCTTCCTCTGGTCTGTCTATTTGTGCCATCCACAACTACAGCTTTAGTCAACAGGAACCAGTGAAACACTATGTACTGCTTATGAACCAGTGAAACACTATGCCTGCATGTCTGTTGAGCTCCATAGCTTGTTGCAGAGTGGTGGTGCGTGTTGTTGGTGCGTGTTGTTGGTCGTGTCATGTTGTTGGCTGTATCAAATTTATTGTTACTGCCCGTGCCAGGGCTCCAGGCGCAGTTCATCACGGATGGCGGCGAGGTTGTCGCCCAGGCGCCGCTCGTAGTAGAAGTTCATGAGGAAGGTCGCGTTGGTGGCCGATCGCTTGGCCCACGGGATGTACTCGCTGTAGAGCACCCGCATCTCCGACACCGGCAGCCGCAGCGGACCCACCACAGAACTCAGCGCC